AATAAATATTATTTTTAATACTAATAAATAATTTTAATTAAATAATTAATAAATTTAAAATTAATTTTTATCTTTTATATAAATGCTACACGCTTAACCTCTTTTATAAAAGTACATTTTGAGGAAAATTTATTAAATAATTTTTCTAATATGTAAAAAAAAAAAAAAAACAACAACAACATACATAAACATCATGATTTTAACCTATCAACTGTTTATAGCTGTTAACAGTACAAAATTTCCGGCCCGGTAATTTCATAGAAATAGAATCCAATGGTATAGGGCAATTCTACACGGCTATCATCGTCAGTTTTTTACCATCACCAAATCTGCGCCTCCCATAGGGCAACATCTTGAAGCCAAAACAACCGCCAAACCCTAGCTCCGATCAGAACTCCCCGATCATGGCGTTTTCTACTCGCCTCCTCTCCAAATCTCGGCAGGTACTCTCGATCTCGACCTGGATATCCATATTCCTGCTTTAGCAGTTTTTCTTCTCTTCAAATGCCAAGCTCCAGCTCCATTTTCACTTCGTTTCGTTCCCGGAGAGAAGCATGGAGAAAGGCACTGTTAGTTCGATTACTGTGCTATCATCCATTTGGAAGTTAACGATGCAATGAGATCGAGATTGCTTTTTGATTAAAGCATTCTTTTTTGTATCTGGTTATTATGTGGATCGTTAAATCAATCTAGTTGAAGTATTCATTTTTTTGCAAAGTTGATGTTTGGTTCCTGAGAAAAATGTTGGGAGAAGAGTGTTACTGTGTCGGGAGCCACTAACCACTGTGAAATGATATAGGGGATTGAAATCTGTTTTATTTCTATTCCTTTAATTTTTTTTTTTCCTTACCAGATTTTATTGGAACCGTCAGTTTTTATTTTGATTGATGCTTCTGCTTACATTTTGTGCTTGGTAATCTATACAGCTGTATGGGAGTCAAGTCATTTTGCGTCAGGACAATGTTGTTCCAGTTCGGTTTTTTGCCAAAGATGCTGCTCCCCCTCCTCCTCCCAAATCTCTCAAGGGAGATGGTTAGTGAAGAATATTCGTCAGTCCTTTGCTTGCTTTTAAAATTTTCTTAATGTGTGTGGTTCATGCATAAAGTAGAGTTACTGTACTCAGCAGGTATGAGTGATTGTTGACATGGGTTGTGGGTGTATGTTGCATGTAGTCATGGTTGATCTGTATGCCTATGAAATGGTGAAGTTTGTGATATTGGTTTTCCATGAGCTGCGTAGGTTTTCTGCTTTTAAATGGATATTATCTTTCTCAAACTGTTGATTGTGGTAAAGGTCTGCATTTACTGGCACATTTTTCATTTAACATTGAGTGCTGATCAGTGACGCATGTGGATATGGTCTTCATTGTTTATCAAGGCATCTATGATCCTTAAGGCTTTAATTATATAACTTTGGGTGCTGATGCATACAGTTTGATTCTTACTTAATGCCCATCTTTATTTTGATGGTTTACTGACAAGTTACCATTCATTTGTCCCAAAAGAGATGTTGAAGAACGTCTTTTCAGATGTTAAGAAGAAATTTGAAACTGCAATAGGGATTCTTCGAAAGGAGAAGATCACTATTGATCCAGATGACCCAGCAGCTGTTTCTCAATATGCAAAGGTCATGAAGACTATTAGAGATAAGTGAGTTTCTTCTTTCAGAATTTATATTTGTTATCTTTGTCTATTATTCTTTCTTCTAAATGTTGGCCTTTGTGCATCTTGCATGTTTTTAGGTTGGAAACAACAGATTGCAGGTTTAAAAAGTAGAAAAGAGAGAACTACATATTTTAGAGTCAGATATTGAACTAGGAGGCCCAACAGTTGGAAATAGAAGATTCATGTGTGAATTCATGAGAAGCTTTAGTTTGGTAATAGGTCATTCAAGCAGATGGGAAATGATTTTGAAAAACAGTTAGTCAGCGAAAGCCAATTAAATGCAACTTGATCTTAGAAAGGATTTCTGTAAGGTTCCCCTCCCTATACAAACACAAATTGAATCAAAAGTAGATTTATGAGCATGGCTATGATAGTCTAATTAGTGATCCTGACATCTTTCCTAGTTTTTCTAGTTATGAAGTCTGTTTGCTATAAACTAGGGATTTAAAGGGATTGTGTAGTAATGGATTTTCAAATCTCTACTTCTGCCCTTATTATGATAAATAAATGAATTTCATTTGTCATGACCAGTTTAGTTGCAATGCAGTCTGAAACCATTAGGCTTGTCTTTTTTCTTTCATATGTTCTTTAAGAATTATGATACTCAAAAAAAGCAGCACAGATGCACAAGTCTTAAAACACAATCCATAAAAAATTAGCCAATTATGTGACCAGTTAGGATTCTCATAGTACTCCTATTCTGTTCGGCTTCTCCTGAACTCTTGCTTTTGGATCAATGTGTGATTAGTGAAGTAGAAGCAGATGTTGCATTTGATACTTCCTGACATTTTGCTGGTTCATTATATGATCTCTTATATTATTGTCCTTCCTGCAGGGCTGGCTTGCTCTCGGAATCTCAAAAAATTAAAACCACCATAGAAACAGAAACTCAAGATATTCCAGATGCCCGAACATACTTGCTGACATTGCAGGAAATAAGGATCAAGTATGTCATATTCATTTTCTCTTAGTTGCATATCTTTGTGAATTATTAATTCCTGAGTTTAGATGCTATTTTCATTATTCCTCTTTATGTGTTCCTCCAGTTATGATGTATCAATTTAGTAGATGCCAATTTTTTTCCTCCTTTAAACAATGAGCTAAATTATGTAAATAAAGCATCATTTTTTTAATGTCATCCTCTAGAGTTTATTTGAACATCCATGCAGATGTTCAATTTTAACTTAGCTTCTTTTTTTTCTTTTTTTTTTTTTTTTTTCCCATGAACTAAATAATTAAATGGTACCGTTGAATTTTGTTGGTTATATAATTAATTCTCTTTTGTTTTAAATTTTTCCTTCCTTTAGGAGAGGACTCACTGATGAACTAGGTGCTGAGGCTATGATGATGGATGCATTGGAAAAAGTTGAAAATGAAATTAAAAAACCTCTTATGAGAAATGACAAGAAAGGAATGGCCCTTCTTTTGGCAGAGTTTGACAAGGTTAATAAGAAGTAAGTGTTCATTTCAACATCCAAACATGATTTCTTGTCTTTTCGCTGAATGAAGATTTTCTAAACTGTCTAGTGCCACATTTGTGATCTGTCAGCATCCCAGAACCTAAGCAGTAGGATCAAATTTCAAGCTAGCTAAGATCTGAAATCATTTATTCTTTAGTGAAGATGTTTCTCTCTGATAGTTGCTTTCTGTGAGCCTCTGCATCTCATGTCTGCATTTCTCTCTCCAAATTTTTTAAGATTTACTTCAATAGTTCAATTACAAGGGATAACAAATATTTATGTGCTCTGGTGTTGCCCTTTTTCTTTTCCTTTGGAGAAACTGTAGTAAATTTTCCCTTATTTTTATGATACTATGCTTGGACTATGATTTTGGATTTACATTGGTTTGAAACCCTGGTTTGAGGTCTTTTAGTTATGTGAAATTCAAGCTAGTATCTTACGATGACAGTGTAGAGAACATTATGTCTTTAAAGGGTACATGGAATGTCAGGTTTAGTCATGGTGATAACTGATAATTTCTCCTATTGTACATGCTGCCTGCTGCCTGCTTTATCAAGCCTCTAGTGCTTTTAGGAAGGAAATAGAATGTCCATGATGCAGTCACAGTTTTGTCTCCTGAAAAGAATGTACTAGATTATCAAGTAGGAAATTATAATAGATTCATAGAATATTTAATTGTGGGGAGAGAAAAAAAGAGTATAAAGTTAGCACTTCCACAGAATGGTGGATATTTTTATCGAAAAAACATCTAAAATTAAATGATTGCAAAATTTTAGGTCACTGAAGCTAAAATGTATTGCATATTGCTTGAGATGAAATTATGACCTGGTATTGCTATTATTCGTCTTATTAGGCTTGGCATTCGGAAGGAAGATCTACCTAAATATGAAGAAGAGTTGGAGGTCAAAATTGCAAAGGCACAACTGCAGGAATTGAAGAAGGATGCTATTGAAGCAATGGAAACACAGAAGAAGCGGTATGGTTCTAATTCCTATCTACCTGTTGGGACTGTTCTGAGGTGATGGGTGGGATGGTGTTGAACTAGGTCCTGGGAAATTATTTATATAATATATCCCTTGAATATTGTGGGTTAATTTAATGGCCTTAAGTTGGAACTTGAGACAAATTTCGTGTTTCCTTTTTGAGGTTAATTAAATTTAAGGATATGATGGTTCCGCAAATAGGAAATTTAAATGTTACTGTTTAAGAGTGTTACAGCATAGATGATTAATTTTGATGAATTTGGTAATTGACCATTAAGCAAACGGCTAAAACAATTAAACTTATTGAATCTGTCGTTTCTTACTTAGTGCAAATCGGTAATATATTTGGTAGTTTGCTTTGGCATCGTTATAAATATATTTTTTTATTTTCTCCTGAATATGCTGAAGTTTGATGTTGTGGTTTTGTGGCAAATTCTTTAGGGAGGAGTTCAAGGATGAGCAGATGCCTGATGTGAAGTCCTTGGACATCCGGAACTTTCTCTGAGAAGCACTGCTATGCTATTGATGTTCCTATACGAGGTCAAACTTGGTAGTGGAAACAGAAGTATTCAGATTCTGACGAAAGCCTTTCCTGTTTTGCTTTTGTAATAAAAAGGGAGCTGGCCGTTTGAAGTTGCTCAACCTTCTCTTAACTGAATCCTAATCGTTATATAAAATATCATTTTGCTTCCAGAAGCTGGAAATCTTGAAACTGAATGCACTGAGAAGTTACATCGGCAAGAAGTCAGCTGTCTTTTTTTTTTTTTTTTTTTTTTTTTTACAAGTAGTTATTGGAGGAGAATATTTTCCACTATGTTAGTGGCTGTTGCTTAGCATTGCAAGACAGACCTCGTGATAAAGAAATGGGTGGAATATGGCAACTGTTAAATTCTAATAAAACCTTACATTCAAGAACAGTTATTCACAGTGGCTTTCCCCTTCCCAGTTGTTCCCCCGATGTTGCTACGAGTTATCCCACTCAGCTGCTTATTAACTACAAGCAATACGAGATGGTATACACACATAATCTTAAAGTCTCACGATATTAAACTCTGTGAATGTAAAAATTCTTATGCCCAATTACTACCGGACAACATTTTGTTAACCATAGTATGTCACCATTCCAAGAACTAACAAAAATTTGTGAATTATTTTTCGAGAATTTAGAAATTAAAACGTTAAATTAAAGCAGCGTCGTTAACTAATCATTCAAATTTAGAATTTCAGATTACTCTGAAATTTAGAAATTAATCATTTTTCGAACTTAAAACGTTAAAGCTGGAATCAATTTTTTTTTTTTCAAGTACAAGCCGATTCATGGTTCTAGACAGAGCTGAAAAATGATTCCAGATTGGCCTTGTTGTATCAGCAAAATTTCCCCAAAGACAACTACGAATATTCGATTACTGCAAAGAATAAACATCTCATACAGAATTTTCAGGAGCAAGAGACAATTATAAGTATGGCAATTAATAAATTATAATTATATTGCTATAAATTAAGAGCTCAAGACCTATTTCTACCCAAAATTGCATATCGTATTAGGGCTTAGTTGGGTGGTAACATCAAGATACCCTACATCCCCCTGAAATGAAGACATTCACCCTTGGCCACCGCCAAGGCATATAGGCTGATATCAAATGCCTCTGATCATATTTTGTCTAAGCTGAGGATTTTCTCTTTTTACTTGATTTGGAGCCCTTGTCGACTTTGCCTCTCTTTTTCCCACTTTTGTCAGATTCTTTCTGCTTCTTAGGCTTCTCCATTTTATTTCTACTGGATTTCACACTGATCAGACCTCCCACAGCTGCCTTTCCATCACCATGTTGCAGAGCATTCTCGAGATCCGTTTCCCTGTCATTGATAGCATACTGTTGGACCAACTCGGGATTTAATAGACCCTCTGTCTTGCTTCTCATTTCCTCCTACAACAGGTCTCAAGTCATTTCATAGTTCATGAGAGAGAGAGAGAGAGAGAGAGAGATAATGAAGCATGTTTACCTCCACTTGTCTTGCAGCGTCATTAAGGTCCTCATCCACAGAGATAGAATGAGGTTTCAGTTTTATCTGCAAGCAAAATTTGACATCATACCATGAAGCATCATTACTAACAGAAAAAACAACTACTTAGAGCCCGCAATTAATTAGATGTTTACAATATATGCCCAAATTTTCTAAATTATGCACATATGTATTAGAATGTTACTCCTCAACTCACTTCCTTTGGTCGAGGCAAGGTTGAATCAATCTCCTGTGACGCAATTCCATATAAGTACTTGTACAATTTTATCATAACCTTTTTAAACTGTGACAATATCTGCTGTCTGTCTAACTTTTTCATTTGTCCCTGTAAAATACCAATTCATTTGAGATAAGAAGATCCACAGATGCTCACAAAGAATAAACGGACAAGCAAACAATGAATATACATCTAAGGAAGCAACGAACATTTCATGCCATGAGACCAGTACCCTGGGTTTATATAAAGCAATCCAATAGAATTGAGTTGTGATCTTATTTTCAGTGACCCATGTCACAACGAAACAAAAGAATCGGTTAAATTTTTCATAGAATTGGTATCTTTGTTATAGCTAGACTAAAGAAAAGCAAATATTTCTCTCTTTTTTAGTATTGTGCAATTCAAGAGGTGAAGTGAGCTCTGAGTTAAATGTGAAGGCTAGAAATCATACCTCAACATAAGAGACATGCTGAATCTGCAACCCCAAGCAGAGCAAAATAGAGGCCTGAACATATGATAACGTCACTGGAACCTTCCCTTGGAAATATTGACGTGCAAGGACTGGGACAAGATAGGAAATCTGACAAAAGGAAGAAACAAACACTTAACAATTTTCAGAAAGCCTCATTCAAAACATATAAAATCATGTGTCATGTATTTTCATGCATATCATACTACCCTACTAAGCGATTACATCATACAACTAGGTATCAAATTAGAGACTGCAAAATTAACAGTATAGGCTTTACCTATCACCATCCATAAATTTTATACAACAGGAGTTACGCTTATAGTAGTAGATTTACAAACTTAAACTCAGAACTACATTAATTTTTCAGCTTAATGATTTCACATTTACATACCCCTTACATCTAAAGCAATGATGCCTGCTTGACATGCAAGTTTGCCAGTCCAAAACAAACGAACAATAAAATCAATAAAATAAAAACATAAATAAGACAACCTCAAGCGTCTTTCTAGTAGATATGTATACCTCATAAATTCAGCACAAGATGACAAATGTTACTAAGAACAAGTCCTATGCAAATGTGACAGACTCATAATAAGAAATGACTGACAAGTTGATACCACCACTTTTTAAGGAGTAGGATCTTTTTCTATTTTCAAACTTTCTCAATCCCTTGTTACCAAAGAAGGCTGATATTTGGTAATTTCTCAATGAATTTCTCAATGAATAATGATAGGCCCAACTATGAGTAAAAAAGCAAGTCACAACTTTAGGTGAAACATGAAAATCAAGTACTAGCAATGACCTAAGTAGTAAGGACTGAATAAATCAGGCTCCACTCAAAAAACCTTCCCCATCTTGCAAATAGTTGATGCCATTATAGTGCTTCAAAAGTAAAAGCCTTCTTCTTCTTCTTTATTTTATTATATTTTTTCATTATATATTTTTTCCTATTATAATTTTTAATTTTATTTTCATATGGACGAATGAAGGGAGACAATGAATTTTATGCAAGTGCAATATAACCATGGAAACCAGAAATCTAGTTTCTTTAGCATGTAGCTACAAAGAAGACTAACATTCTGTATTATAGCAGCTGAATTCTTTTACCAGATGATGTATTACCAAGTTATGTAATTGATTTCATGAGCAGAGCAAAGAATGACACATGATATTTTCTATCATAAACACATTTGAGATCTTACAGTATGATAGTCTGACAGGTTATCTGTATAAGCTTTCAGCATCTCCATATTGTCAGGTGACAATATGCTACCAAGAGACTTCAAAAATCCATCTGAAGTTGATGAAGTAGGTTCTACATTGGTAAAGTCAATCTTTGGGTCCAAGACACTGATGGACAATGGAGTAGCATAAGCACATCAAACATAAAAAGTGATTTGAAAGTGACAAATTTGTGATACTGACCTCATGGCAAGCTTATAATCCATATTACGGAAACTGTTAAGGCATAACATTCCCGTAAACTTTTGCCTGAAATCTACAAAAAAAGAAAAGAAAAGAAAAGAAAAAAAAAGAGTTTAAGATATCAATAACAAGAAGAAAATAACCCTAGAAGAGAAAAAAGGGACTTACCCTGGTAAAACGGAGCAAAAAAGCCCCATTCATCATCTTCATTAACTTCAATGTCATCATTCCTCAGTGGTCTCAGGACCATACATGTATGTTCACCTGTCACACTATTCTGATCCAATTAAGAAGTTAACGTCAGATTTATTAATCAATGCACAACCCAGAAATATGGTTGAGGACATCAACTCCATCATTGAAACAGATGGGAAAAGTTCATCTTAACTGGAATCTCGCCAATGTAAAATGGAGCAAATCTATGTTTCTTCCAGAAACGAAATAGGTCCAAGGTAAGTCCAAAAGAAACACCAATATAATGGAGCTTCTCAGCATGGCGTTCACGAAGATGCTCAAGCAAATGGGGTAGCTGTTTCCGAGGTTCAAGTTTTTCTTCCAGCAATGAGACCTGCAGATATATTTGTCAAAGTCATTTACAAAGAAATTGACACAAACCAACTCGACTTAGACATCAGGATAATTAAGAGGCATAATATGCCAAAAGCATATGTTACTTTGACTCTTCACTTGATCCTAAGTCCCATATACATATGTAAAATACACACTGAATGGAGCAGAATAAAAAGAGTTTAATCTGGTTTGTGAGGACAGAAAGTGCAGGTACAACCTACCATATCTACAAAGTGAAAACTATGTGCAAGTTGTAATATTGATGATTGGATGTATACCCTAAAGAAAAAAAGAAGACAAAGGGCTGCAAGTGAATAGAGCTGCTCGCTAGCTATTTGAAACTTGGCTCAACAAAAGAGCAGCTCAACTCATTCATTAAGCTTGATGAACAAAGCTTGAGCCTAAAGAGCTCATTTATAGCCCCCTATACAAGAGCTTAGAGATTCTGGAGATAACATAAAACAACTAGCATAAACATAAGCTTTTTCCTTAAATGAACCTGCTCTGCAGCTTCAGTGACTCTGACTGGTGCAGTCTCCATGTCATCCTCAACATCCATCTCAGAAAATGAAGTAAACTGACCTTCATAGTACCTGCAGGGGGCGAAGTGGTTACATAAATGGTTTCTCTTTGAAACATACTTGAAGGTCCAATTGTTTCAACTTTCAAACATGAATGAAAGGAACGAAGAACTAAAAACATAACAACACACTCTCAAACATACAAGAGTATATCAAGTCCTATGGCTGTATGACCAGCAGAAACCTCACATAATGTCCTATTTAACAAATCAACAACAATGCATTGCCATTCGGCATGTACACTAGGACCGCTACACATTTGGCCCTCACTGAAACATGCCACATCATCATAGGATTCCAGAGATCTACTTAGTTGATTCATAAGGTGAACAGGAAATTAAAAATCCATTTACCTTGCCAAGAGTTCCACTGCAGTAGAACCATAACCAAGCTGCAATGAACAGAACAGAAAACCTCTCAATGTTCTCAAAAGAACCTTTAGAGCAAATCAAAATTTTACATGCTTTAAACATATTAATTACCCTCATAGCACTGGGATGGGTGGCAATGCGTACAATGCGAGCACCTGAAAGGCTAGGAAAAACAGTGTCCCTAAATTGCTCACAAAATTTCCATGGTATTTGGTCTCCATGGGGTTGATGGCCAACACTTAAGCTTTTTATTGCAGATTTACGAGATATTTGACCCTCAAGACAGACCTGTGAGAAAGGGATAAAATCTAACAATAATGAGTGACATAGAAATAAATTGCACTTCATGAGAATTATGATATAGCTGACAGTTTTGTATAGGCAAGTCTCACACTCTGAATGTAACATAAAAATGCACCGTTCATAACCAAACTAGGGTATACACGACTTTCAATGATGTCTAGCTTTATAAGAGTCTGCAACAACCAACAAGCAGACAAGAATAATTTTTTATGGCTAGAAAACACACAAGTTAAAAATAGTGGCTGAGAAGCAATTATGCCAACTGCATCAATAGGTGACGCACTACACTTCTCAGAGTCAATTTCTCTCAAAGCCTGTGATATTTATTCTTATAAAAAAAACACAGAGACTTAAGCACCAACTGGGGTCTACATTATGATGATACTCTTTCTTTGGTTATTTTTCGATTGTTGTGTGGCTAGATGTGAGGAAGATATAAAAGGGATACACCACCTGGACATATCCGAGGAGAAAACTATTAAAAAAATGTAGCTCACTCCACTAAATTATGGCATTCAAGTAGAATAAGGAAATAGTGAGCAGCAAGAATTCTTAACACGTTGACGATAGCTAGTGTACAATGCTGCAGAACATAAGCAAATTATCCTTTCACTACAATAGACAACATATCAGATTATTAACAAAAGTTTCAAATGATAAGGATGCAAACCTGAATGACGCATAAAATATCAGGAAGTTGATTTTTTGACTCGTCAACAGGACCTGCATTTACAAAGTTAGAACCGTTCACTCCCAAGCTCAAATAGGAAAAACAGCTGAGAGGATGACATACCCAGTAAAACAAACAAATGGTGAGCTGGAGCATCAGCCATTAATTGTAGATCGTTAGGAGAATTTTTATAGTGAGAAGATACATAGAGAGCCATCATCCGCTGCAAATATAAGATGTATAAGCACCTAGTTCACCTAAATAATAATCCTAATGGACAGCCAAATGAAAGGAAAACAGATGACCTTTAGATGATTCTCTAGTTACCTGCAAAAATATCTCGCTATCTTTGTTATAAGAGAATAGTGTGTCTCTATTTACATAGTAAAGCTCACATTCACTTGGAGGAGGTAACCTATTTTAGAAGGGAACAGGCATAAAGTAAACATTTGAAAACGGTTCTATAAAGACATCCATGAAGTTGAAGGCAGCTTCAATTTTCAAGACAAACAATATTATCCTCCAAACCTGTGGATACTGGGCACAGAATTTGTAACATCCAGACAAAGTAAAGCATTAAGCCAGGATTCTATTGGATCACCGGATGTGTATCTAATAGATTCGTGAAGTTCTATCTTTTTAAAAAGACGTCCTGCAGTTTAAAAGTCAATAAATATCAGCCAATTGCCAAAGAAAACATGTTAAAAAAATTACAAATCATATCCTCAAACTTAAAAGCCGAAATAGTTGTTAGTTTGGTACTCTCTTAAGCAATCAAAGTGCATATATAGGGATGAATATGTGCAAAAAAGCTTCTAAAAAACCATTAGAGCAATATAAATTTACTATCAAATGTTTTGCCTCTAAAGTCAGATTTTCCTCCAGATAAAGTCCATACTTAAAATGAATGACATAAAAAAGGTAGGCATACAGCCAGTACACCTAGCCACCCAACTCCCAGTCTCCAACCTATAAACCTCCTTATTTGTTTGATAACAAGGTTATCTAGAGCCTTGGCCTGACTAATCCCATGGGCACCTACAAACCGCCTCATCCACATACTTCGACCTAAGGCCAATGTTGGGGATTTAAACCTTCATTTTCAGTAGGGTTTGCATCACTCCTTACCATTTGATCAACCCCAGCAGGTTTAGCTCTTCATTTTTCATTTTAAGAAGGGTGAAATTTGTCCTAAAGGCAAATAATTTGGTTCAAGAAAACAATATAGTGAAAATAACCTAATTTCCTAACTGTTAGACAACAAAATAAAATCACAAGAAGAAGCTTTTGAATCCAACATGAAATTAATGAAAAGAAGAAGAAAAGTCGAGACATCTATGTGCAAACGATGCCTTTAATAGAGGCTACCATACATAATACAACTTCATAGAATAAATAAAGCCAAGTAACACCAAAGAATACCAGAAAGAGCACCCTCCGCATCCTTAGCCGCCATCTGGCTTTGTTCTTCCAATTGCTGCAGAAGTTTTAAGGATAAAGATCGACCAGTACCTTCATAGCTTTGACCAGGAGAGAAAAGCACAAAAGAACATCAATTGCAATTCAAATTGAAATTCTACTGAAACAAGAGATTGCATTGAACAGGCTAATAGAGAAAAACTATCAAGCAGATAACTAAGAGTTTAATCTTTTATCATACCCATTGACAGTAGATGAAAGGAAGACCAAATAAGGACCAAGCAAAGACTTGACAACAGGCAACGGTATGGCTGCTGCTTCATCAACAATCAGAAGTTCAACTTGGGAGAGCTTTTCATGTTCATGTGGCTGTATATACTGCAATTGCAGGAGGAAAGCAAAATTCATAGAAATCAAGCATATAAAGGCTAAAGCTATCCTCAGAAACTATATTTGCAAAATAACATTAGAAAACATTAAATACAAGTCGTGTCATCCTAACCTGAATAGTTTGCCTGTGTTGCTTGTAAATGTTGATCCTCACGGTAGCTTTCTTGAACTCAGGATTCACACTTCTCACAACATCATAATCAATGTGTTCCTAAAAAGACCAAAGAAAAAAAAAAATTGCAAAGAATATGTAAGAAAACATTGGGTAAAACCTTAGTCACTACCAAATATGGTAAATAATAGAAATAACAGGAAAGACCATCTAAACAGTTTAGTTCAAATTCAAACTTCGGTTGGCTAGGTCAGATTTGTTTGATTTAGACCAAATATTGTTGGAATTGTCAGCATAAGTAAAGCTGGATTGAGATTTAATCCAATAAGAGCCCACATAAAACTTCATCAAATTGGATATCAAGAAAGCTGTCTCTTACAAATGCTAATTGCCACTAACTTTATAAACACGAAAGATTATCAAACTAATAATAACTATGTGCGAGATAGAGGTACCCCACCTTATACTCAATGGCAGCAAAACCCTTGCATACAAATTCAAACAAGGTTTTTAAGTTCTCAGGACTGGGTGCTGTTACAAAGATATTTGAATACCTAATTGAAGTTTCTCTTGTCAGTATCTGGAAAAAGGCCAACAAGGAAAACATAAAGAACTTGAGAACACAACCATATAATGACTCATGCACTTTACCCAGCAGCAATGGCCCCAGCAATTGCCAAACCAAGTGCAGCTGATTTTCCACGACCTCGGGCAGCAAGCAAAGCAACCGTGCAGCGCAGATTTTTGTCTAAAATGGCATCAAGAAATGTAACAATGGCTCTTCCCTGTGCAAAAATGAAAATATGATCTCATTCACCGTATAATTCAGAGAGAATTGGTCATATTTCACCCAAAAGAAAAGAATTGTAACCTGGATACATTATATACCTGATCCAGTGTACAACACTGTTTGATCAAAGGACCAACAGGAAAATCTTCATTTAGCTGTTCTTTCAAGTTCTTCAGGTCTTGCTGAGCTTCTGAGAGCCCTTCAGAGCCCTTCATTACCAACTCAGAAGAAAATTATATACAATAAAATGCACTAAATTTCACCAGTAAAATTAATAAACTCATAGAATGCATGACACTGCTGTAAATCAAAATTTTCATCCGATATCTGTGCCTCACTGCCAGAGAATATTTTTCCTTTTTTAAACTTAACACATACTAATTGAAAAAGAAACTTGAAAACATTTACACATGTATAATTCACACCCACAACCAATCATACAAAGTCAGGAAGCCAGATATTTACCTCATGAATTTGGACAGGGGTAATCAATTTTATATGAGATGAGATTTTCAAGATGTTCATCTCATCATCCATGAATACACATGCTTTACAAGTTGCAAGTGATAATACAAAGCGTTCATTGAACCGTGATGCAGCATTAGAATGGGATTCTGTACGGAATCTCTCGTGAACATCCTGAAATTGAATCACCAAGTTATTTATTAACATGTCACTTTTACAGGTTAAGCACAAGTGACATGAAACTTAATTGTTTTATAAGTGGATAACTTCAGTCCTACCATAACCATGGTGTACAGACTAGTGAGTGATGGAAGAGATCGAAGCAGCAATACAATTAATCCACCGCCCTCCACTGTCTCTATGGTTCTTGCTAATAGATTTGGTGTCAGAGCCTCAAAATCCTAATACCAAAGCATGCAATTAATTTGCAAGAAACATGAAGTAATAAGTACAGAAAAAGGCAACCAAAGGAGGAGAAGCCATTAGCAAATAAAAAACATATAAAGATAACTAAATAAAAAATAGAAAAGAAATATACAATGATACGTTAGCTTAACTGGATGACAACCCAACAGAAAAATACCTGTAATATACACATTCCAAAAGTTTTTCCAAGAATTCTCTCAGAATCTTTGTATAAGCAATATGTTATTCCATGACTTTCAACAAACAGTGAGAAAGGATCAACTTTTTCAGGATCCAGCAGGCCCCTCTGCATTAACTTCTTTATCTGCTTTGCACGTTTTTTCTTGTGGCTGCATAAATGTAATCAACTGAATGACTATTTTGCAGTCACTTATCAGTTATCATGAAGAATTTTAACTAAGGAGGTGGAATAAGCTATAGTTCTAAATAACGCTAAAAATGCATAAAACAACCAAATGGGAAGGAAAAAAAAAAAAAAAAAATCAAAGATCATCTCAAACCCTTTCCTCCCAATATGGCTAATTAAACAATGCAGGATTGATGAATGTTTTTATCCAACATTGACACAAAAAAATGACTCAATTAAAAAGCCGGACCTGCTGAGTTCAAGTTTATCCTTGTAGCACCACAACACGGTCGGTCTAGACTTGACCATCGCATTGCTCATCATGTAATGAAGATTCACAATCTGCATAAGATAAAGCACGATAAAAATCAAGCTCCGGATAAGGAAATGCAGGAGAAAACAATGCTTTCTCGAGTTTAAATTTTGCAGAGGAAAATTTGAAACAGGAAACTTTCTCAAAAACTACTGTTACTTCATCTCGGAAACTGAATTAAAGCGAATATGACAAACAGGAAAGGGGTTACCTGGTCGCGGGATTTGTCGCCGACGATGACGAATATAGAACGGTGGCGCAATTTGACGCCATTCTCAATGAGAGTTCTGATACGTTCGTCGACCTTCTTCCTCATTCTCTTACTTGATCCTATGCAGAAAACAGAACTGAAGGGTTTTCTTCTTAGTTTTTGCTCTCCGCCTGTCTTGGCGGTGGGTTGGCGGTTGGCGCTCTTTAGGGTTTATTCGCCTTGCTGGTTGGCGCTAGGGTTTATGAACTTAACTGGCTTGTTAACGCTGTCGTTTTGACGCTTTCTAAATAAAATAAAACAATATGGTTTTTTTTGGGGTAAAAAAATAATATGGTACATGCATGTTAAGGAGCCGTTTGGTTAGGACGGTGAATTTGTAAATTTTAGTCCCTAATATTTATGTGTTAATTCGTACCAAACCTTTTTCTACTGCCCGATTTAATCCCTGGTCCTGGTTCTGGTTCTGGTTCTGGTTCTGGTCCAGTGGGCATTAGACGTTAGGCAATTAAAATTATATTTTTTTAATCAATGATTCACAAAATAAATAATGAATTTAGATTTAAAAAGAAAAAATTTCAAAAAAAAAAAAGAGGTCTGCTTGAGCAAATGTTTTAATTTTTAATATTTGATGCATAATATTGATTCTTTATATATAAATACACCTTAATTAGATTTTGAGTGTGTCCTAATGCTCCTATATTCAAGCAGCTAAGGTTTTTTTTTTTTTTTTTTTGATCATAAAGCATTTCCAGAGAAACTACTTATAAACTAATCACACCCTTATGCTGTTAAAAAAAAAAAGAAGAAGAAAAGAAAAGAAAACCAAACACTCCCTTAAAGTAAATAAAAAGACTCTAAAAGGTTAAAGATGATAAATATAGTGTAAGAAATTGACACAGCCTAAACATTAGGGACTCAAAATACATTTACCCTAAAAGAAAAACTAAAGAAAATACTGATCACCTGCGGCACTGCCACCGGCACTCGTCTTGGGTTTCATCCTTCAGACTGAGGGAGGGGTGGTAATTCCTAAACACCTTTTCTTGCAGTTTTGCTAGTTCTTCAGAAATGGGATCAATCAAACAGTTTTCTCTCCCCTCTCAAACAGAATTTCAGAACCCCAAATTACGCTTTGGGAAACTTAACCCAGTTTTAAGCAATCCCCTCGGTATACGCAGACCACAGTCACTGTCTCTTCAACAATGCAGACTTCGTATATTCCCAAACCTCTCTCAATCTCACATCCCCAGTATGCATACTTCAAATCTCAGAAGGGATATAAGCTCTCATCTCTCCACTAAGACGGAATTTGTCAGAGTTTTGTCAGAGAAAGTTGTAATTTTTCTTGTTGGGTCATTCATTTTTATGGGGTATTTCAATGCTAGGCCAAGATTGGCATTGGCTGCAGAAACAAGCAGTTCTAGTGAAAATTTGGAGGAAAAGACGGGTGCCCGGAAGGAGAAAGATGAGTATGAGGAGATGTATGATAAGCTTTTGGAGAAGGAGCCGAGGAATGTGGACGCATTGAAGGTGGCTCTGTATAAGAAGATGAGAGGAGGGAAGACTAAGGAGGCTCTGCGGTATGTGGAGGAGTTGATTAAGATTGAGCCGGAAGAGTTTGAGTGGAAGCTTTTAGAGGCACTTTGTTATGAGACCATGGGAGAACTGAATAAGGCCACGAGATTGTTCGAAGAAATTTTGAAGGAGAGGCCTATTTGGATCAGAGCTTTACATGTATGCTATTTCTTCCTTCCTTTTGGCCATTGCAGTATGTTTTTTCATTTGCATTTCTATGATATCTTATTTTTTGATGCGGGACATCTATGGAAGAGTTACTTACAGTATTTATTTTAGGCTTGCTATGTTATTATGATTATTCAGGTGTTATTTTAGGTTATTATTAGTTTTCCTAACTCTTTAGTAATCTTTCTGGCCATTGATGGCGATGTAGTTTTTCTTGTTGCATGGTGTGATATAAGGGGAGACTGTGGTAGCATGCAGTAAAGGAAATTGATTGAGAATGCTGGAATGGGAAATTTTGGTTCCTGAATGAACAGTGCCAGGAGGTTTCCATATACTGTAGAAACCCAGTGAAGTCATGTAGCAGCTATGAGCCGTGTTGAAAAAATTGGTGTTGAAGTTTTTCATCTATGAATGAATGAATTTTGGCTGACTTTCAATTTATTTTGAATTTTTTTGTAATATATTTATTCATTCATGGAGTGCCTATTTGGATGCCTTCTTCTTTGATTATAGATAAACGACTCTTGAGATTTATTTTCAGTTG